AAACTCTCATTCTCAAATGGACATCCCTTTCTTCACAAACCTTCTTCCTCTTCAAGGTAATGCTTTTCTAGATACAGTCATGCTTCACTTAATGTCCATGATACGTTCTATGACACAGGACACTATGTGATTTGGATGTTGTGTGAACACTATATTATTTTCTTATGGCAACTCTGATACAGTGAAAACGTTCCTTACCAGGGGACCGGGAAGGCCTGGAGTTCTGCTTGCTGCTGTCTCGGCCAGGGCTGGTAGCTGCATCCCAGGAAAGTGAGGGCGCTGCGAGGGCACGTGCTGAGCTGGCAGAGCCTGGGGACTGGTCCTTTAGGCGAGGCCGTGGGGCACTCAAGAAGGCATCAGGCCCTTTGGAGGCCCAGGCAGCCCTGCAGGCCCAGTTCCCTGAGGATGAGATCTAGGGGCTTGGGGCAAGCCCAGGGTGGGTTCCCTAAAAGCATGATGTGGTCTGAGGTACAAAGGTGCTGGCTCCCTCCTGGCTACGTCGGTTATGTCTACTACTTCCCATTCTCGGATGGGCATTTCTGAAGTTAATGGACCACAGATGTATAGGCGGTGGGATGTTGCCCAAATGGACGTTATGTGGAACATGACTGTATTATTCTCCTTTTCCTCTCCTTTTTCTTGAAATCTCCAGAGTACAGGTTCCTATAGAGTTTCTCTTTATGAAGAGTTCATGGAAAGGTGAGCTATGTCATCTGAGGAAGGGGAAGCAATCAAAATTGGGGATTGGCAATCTGTCACTTTCATCAGAGCCTCTTGTACATCAGAGTAATTGATAAATTCTTCATAGAACTATCTAACTTCTGCTCAGATTAATTTTCAACATGGTGCATCTCCATGTTTTCATTGACTTGAATTTCTCTTTGTGCTTTTTACACTGTTAATTGAGAAGGTAATGGCACATACAACTACCACATACCATATACCATTTCAAATATAATGCAAAGAAAGTCTAAAAATGCCATGAAATGCTTACAGTAGTGACTTTAGAGGAGCTCAGTAATTTCTGTGATACAAAACCTTTGCTCCTTTGTTTACACAAAATAGACATAATCTAATAATGTATGTTTTCCCTTTTCTCATTGAGTTATATTCACCCTGAGGTTTCTTTCCCTCTTCTTTTATTCCGCAGTTCCCTGGGTGGTGCAAATGATTTGTGCTTGACTACTAACCTAAAGGTTGTCATGCAGTGGCACCATGGAAGAAAGGCCGGGTGATCTGCTTCCATAAAGATCACAGCCAAGAAAACCCTATGGACCAATTCTACTCTGTAAAACATGGGGTTACATGAGTCGGAATAGACTTGATGGCAACGAGTTTGAGTTTTTTTGGTTCTTTTATTCCACTTCCTTCCCAACTGCCTGATGAATCCTGTTTTCTCAAAATTTTGCCTTTTCTGTTGGTTGACTAACGACTTCTCTTTCTCTGTACCCTCCCGATGCCCTCTTCCCACCCCCTCTGCTTGCCCATGCCCCATCTGGCTGCTCACCTCCCTTGTTTGCCTCCTCTGACTCTCCTCCGCTGCCTTCACTCTTCCCATTCTGGCGCCATCTCCTTCCTTCCCTCCCTCCCATCCTTCATGCCTCCTTCAACTTTTCCTCATTAACGTTGCATGTTATAAATAGCCTCAAGTAATCTATCATTTCTCCGAATGCTCTCAGATAATCTCCTGACACATCTCATAGACAGTAGTTAACTGCAGCAGGGAAATTTATCATGCTCATTTATTAACCTCTTAGAAGGAGTGCTGAAGCAGGGGTCAAAAATGAAAGAGACATCTTACATGATTCAGTGGCTCCTGAAAGATGAACTGGTGATAATAAGATGTCTTCTTATGTTTAAGGTTGACTACAAGCATGTTTCTAATGAGACAAAGCTGCTGCAAAAATACAAAAGGCTCTGAATGATATCAATCTCCAGATGTCATTAGTCTTGCTTTACCGTTACAAGTAATAATAACTTACTATTGTGTCCTTCCAATGTGCCAGCCCTGTTATAACTAACATGAATGATCTAATACAGGGTTCTTTATACAGTCATGTGGTTTGTGTACTGCGTTGAGGAGCTCAGCCGAGGGGAGGATTGAGGCTGCTTGCCAAGTCATAGGTAGAGACTGTTATGATTCCTGTCTTAGTCATCTAGTGCTGCTGTAACAGAAATACCACAAGTGGATGGCTTTAACAAAGAGAAATTTATTCTCTCACAGTTTAGAAGACTAAAAGTCCAAATTGAGGACACCAGCTCTAGGGGAAGGCTTTCTCTCTGTGTCAGTTCTAGGGGAAGGTCCTTGTCATCAATCTTCCCCTGGTCTAGGAGCTTCTCGGCACAGGAAACTCATGTCCAAAGGACGCGCTCTGCTCTTGGCGCGGCTTTATTGGTGGTATGAGGTCCCCATGTCTCTCTGCTCCCTTCCCTCTTTTATATCTCAAGAGACTGATTTAAGATACAACCTAATCTTGTAGATTGAGTCCTACCTCATTAACATAACTGCCTCTAATCCTGCCTCATTAATATCATAGATGTAAGATTTATAACACACAGGAAAATCATATGACATGACAAAATGGTGGACAATCACAATACTGGGAGTCATGGCCTAGCCAAGTTGAAACACATTTTTGGAGGACACAATTCAATCCATAACAATTCCCATTTTTCAGATGAAGGAATGAGATACTGATGGGTCAGGTAACTTGCCCAGGTGGAAGAGTCATTTAAATTACAAAGTTCTTTTGAGTCTTGAAATAACAAATGTATAATCTCCCACCCTCTATAGTATTCCCTTACTAAACGGCAAGCAAACTGAGGGCATGTGCTGTGACTATCTTGTTCATCCTTGCAGCCCCTATTTTGGAATGAATGAAAAAAAAAAAAAAAAGGTAAAAGTCATAAAATACCTCAAGGGCTGTTTTCCAACGAGGGAGAAATACAGTGATCTTAAGAAAAAGTCCATTGTTTTAGATCTTAAGTATTAGTTTCACTTTTCCTTTCATGAGAACCAGGGTGGACGTGATGTTACACAATGTGGGAAGCCTGAACGTGGGAGCAGACTTGGCTGCAGGTGAACAGTGCAAGGAAGGCAGGCTGCTGGTGGGCAGAGTCAGGAGGCCATGCTGATTAGGGGTAGATGGAGGGCTGGGAAAGGGGAAAGGAGGAAGGGGGGCCCAGAAAGGGGTATTGGAAGATATCCTGAGGGGCAGGGACAGGGGCTGAGTAGATCTGGCCTGCAGGAAAGATTGAGTATAGGCAATAGGGGAGATTTAGGCAGATAGGTTGTTGATGTCCAGTATGCTTGGTGAGAAGTAAGTTTAACTACAACAGCAACAAGACATTACATACTATGTGCCAGCCCTGTGCAAAGTACTTGGCAGGCATTACCTCATTTCATTCTTACCCAAACCTCTGAGATTGGTACTATAATACCTCCCATTTAAAGATAAGGAAAGTGAAACTAAGTAAATTGATCAGGGTTACAAGGACTTGGGATTCACTCCCAGATCTGCTGACTTCAAAGTCCAGGTTCTTGCCCCTCCACATTAGAAGGAGGGATCAGGATCAAAGGGAGAACCCTGGTTGGGGAGAGAACGGAAGGTTCTCAAGTCTGGAGGAGTAGAGTAATTAAACAGGTTATTGAGGATGGGCCTGATCTTGGGGAACGAGACTGGAACCCAGATTCAAAAGTTAGGTATAGGTTGGGGGAGAGGAGTTGATCACCAAAGATGGATTAAAAGCCTAGTTCCTAGACCTGGGGGGTCTCTGGTGGTACAAACAGTTAATGATCTTGCTGCTAACCAGAGGGTTGGAGGTTGGAGTCCACCCAAAGGTGGCTCAGAAGAAAGGTCTGGTGATCTACTTCCAAAAAATAAGCCACTGAAAACCCTATGTAGCATAGTTCTACTCTTGACACACATGGGGTTGCCATGAGTTGGAATCAACTCCATAGCAACTGCATGTATGTGCTCCATGGCTGGGCAGAACCAGCTTCAAGATGACTTGACACTGCTCTGCCCAAATACTGGGTGAAGAATACTCCTTTATTTCTGTCTGGATAATAGTAGGATTTGTTCCAGAGCCTGGGGTAAGCCAGAGTTGTGGAAAATGGAGGCCTGCGCAGGCAGGAAGTCATTCTGCCATTGTAATTTTGAGTTTGGATTGCTCTATCTGCCAATATTTGTCCCAAAGCTCTCGCAAATCCTTTTGGAATGAGGTGGGGTATAAATTTTAAAAATGCACACTGTACAGTGAATACATTCCCAAGCAGCCTTCAAAAGTGTGTGGAAGTTTTTCCTTAAGTATACTTCTTTCCTTTAATTGGACATTTTATTTACGTGTTGCATCCAAATCATCAAAATACCTTTGGTGGCTCACTTGGACGCATACCTAAAAGCAGCTCTATGTTTTGGTCTCAGTGTGTTTACAGGCTCCACATAATTTTTTACATATGTTGCATCTCTCCTCAAAATGATGGCTTCAAGAACACTGGAGAAACAGAGACAGTGCCCAGGGGCCAGCACACATGGATTGTTTGATGAAGACAAAATGCCACTCCATATGACCCAGGGAAAAGCTGGCAATACGACTGAATTTCCACTCCAAGTTTCCAAACTGCAATGGTAAAATGGTCATAAAATTGATTGAAATAATTTTAATTCTCAAGGAGCCCTGGTGGTGCAACAGTTACGGGCTCGGCTGCTAACCGAAAGGTTGGCGGTTTTAACCCACCCAGTGGCTCTGCAGGAGAAAGATGTGGCAATCTGCTCTTGTAAAGATTAAACCCCCCAAAAACCAAACCTATTGCCATCAAGTCAAGTCAATTCCAATTCGTAGCTACCCTATATGGACAGAGCAGAACTGCCCCTATAAGGTTTCTAAGGAGCGGCTGGTGGATTCAAACTGCCAACCTTTTGGTTAGCAGCCAAGCTCTTAACCACTACACCACCAGGGTTCCCTGTAAAGATTACAGCCTAGAGAACTCTATGGGGGCAGTTCTACTTTGTCATATAGGATCTCTATGAGTCAGAATCGACTTAATGGCACCCAACAACAACAATAATAGGACAGGTACTTTTTTATCATATACTGAAATTATTCATAGACTGCTTTGTACTTGGCATACCCTCAGACAGAGTTGGAAACAGAAGAAAGTGTGGAAGATAATTGGGGTTGTCACAAAGATGACTGGTGACCCAAGCCGCAGGTTGGCTGGTGGTGCTGTGGTGAGGGGGTGAGGGCACAGATGTGCCTTGCCTGGCCCTCCACCTATCCTCCCAGTCCTGGGGCTGACCTAACTTTTGACCACTGGGTTTGAAGTGGGGCAGCACTGGAGGCCACTCCAGTTCAAGGTGGGAACTCTCTACCAGCCAGGAGGGGCCCACTCCCACGGCGTCGACAGGCTGGTGGGATGAATGGTGAGAGAGGACTGAGAAGATACCTCAAGGGCTGTGGATCGCAGTGGGCTGTGTCTGAGGGGGCCCAGGTATTCTGGACAAATTTTGGATGGACTGTAACCAAACCTTAAGGATTCCCTCTTTTTCCCCACATTGCATTGCTATGTTATTTTTCTGCAAAGTTCTAACCTTTTGCCATCATCTTACACTGCATCTGAACACCCTGAAATTGTGTAAAAGGAATTGGAAAGAACAAGGAACTTGGAGCCAGAGAACTGGATTCTTCTTCTGGCTCTGCTAGTACTAACCTTGGACAAGTCCTGGCACCAGTTCCCCTCATCTGTCAAAGGAAGAAGTTGCATGGCAAAACCCAGTCAGTGTTCAGCGAGGAAACCTTAGAGATTATCTGGCCCATTCAGCATAGGGGCTTCCTTTTAGCGATGAGTAATCTGAGGCCTCAAACAGCCACATGCTCCTGGAATCTCAGGTGGTGGTGTGGCCTGGACTCTGATTCCAGCCCTCTTTCCCTTCCTCCACTCTGCTCTCCACCACACAGTTGCCTAATAAAGTCCTGTGTGCCTATGAGATTCCACAGAACCATTTAGGCTGACATCGTAGTTTCTGTCCTTTCTGTTTACAATGCAAAAAATAAAAATAAAAAAAAAAATGCAAGTATCTGCATAACATCACAAAGTATATTTATCAACACCATCATCATCATCATCATTATTAAAAAAAACAACTTTACAAATCTCTACCGTGTTAATGATACCACCAACATCTGTTGTTGGAGAAAAAGTTAATTTTCCTCTAAATAATATCTGTTGTAAGGAAGGAAGCCAATTGATACCATAGAGGAACTATTGTGTTTGCTTGTGTCTCCTCTTCTAGGCTTAAGAGCAAGAACCAAGTCATTTCTGTTTGATCAGCGCTTAGCATCATGCCTGGTCCTGGTAAAACAGAATGAGGAATAAAGTTTACAGATAATCCAAAACCCTTCAATCTCCGTTCAAACCTCTTCTAACAAATCTTTGTTGAAAACTGCTAAGTACAGCCTGCTTTGAGGAACTAACTCCTTTTTTGACCCCACCTCCAAGAAAAGGAACAAAGGCAAGAATGCCAGAGGGAAAAGAAGAGAAGGGACGGGTTTTGAAATCTCTAACTCTGCAACAGGGAGGGTGGGTATAAGTGAATCATCGGTGGCATTCCAGGTGGAGTACACTGCTGCTATTGTCTCCCCTACACACAGACTGAGCTTGCCCCAGTCCCTTCCTGCTCTACAACCCAGTAAAGCTCAGAATCTGTAACTAACCCGTGAGGCCCCATGGTGGCAGAGAGGAAGACTGGCCCTGCTGACAACCGTGAAATAGACCGGGCTGGGTTCTCATCCGATGCTACATCTAGCCAGACCGGCATTCGGGTCTCATTCAGTCACCACTCTGAAATCTAGGGGGCAGAGGTGGTTCAGTAGTAGAATTCTCGCCTTCCATGTGGGAGACCTGGGTTAGATTTCTGGCCAGTGCACCTCATGAACTTGAGGGTTGCTATGATGCTGAACAGGTTTCAGCAGAACTTCCGGATGAAGACAGACTAGGAAGAAAGGCCCGGTGATATACTTCTGAAAAAATCAGCCAGTGGAAACCCCATGGGTCACGATGATTTGATCTGCAACTGCTCATGGGGATGGTGCAGGACTGGGGCAGTATTTCCTTCCATTGTCCATAGGGTCACCAAGAGCCAGGGGATGACTTGACAGCAGCTAACACCACTAACTGTGAAATCTTGGTGCTGCCTGTTGAGTCACTTTCTTCCCCAATCTCTAGTTTAAAGACAGTAAGGCCCAAAGCACTTAAATAACAGCTCAGTTCATACTGCGGAAGAGTTTGCTCACACATTTACAATCCCTGGGTCAAACAGAGACCAGGCTCATTATTTGGATTTTTAAATGCTGAAAGAGACAGAGGAGCCACAGGGTCATGCTGACATTCCAAGTCTCTCTAGCCATTAGGACCCACTGTCTCCCAGAGCTGGACCGAAAAGATCTCGGAGATCCGATGCACAGACGATAACAGAGTAATGATAAAAACCCTCCAGCTGGAGCTCACTCCCCTGAGCGTCACTGGAGCCTCCAGCCCTGCTTCCTGTGCAGCGCATATTGGAAACACATTGGAGTTATTTTTCCTTTTGAAAATGCTGTTTTATGTTTCAGCTTTCAAGATGTCCCAGTTTCTGCATCACAGCATCTTCACATACCAACTCAATGTGTTTCATTTGGATAGAGCCCCTTCTTCCTTTCCCTTTTAAGGAATAAAAGGGAAGATGCTGGCTTATGGGATAAGCTGCTATTGAGGTGCTTGGGGTTTGGGGTGAAAAGAGGGAAAACAAGATGAAATCCTAACTAATTTGGTCCATCTCATCTCAGAAAACCAGAACTCCAGGAATTATTTATGATTCTCCTGACCCTCATAGCAATGCAGGTTGTGGATCTTGCCAAGAACAAATTAGGCTGTCTGCATCTGTTATTCTTCCCAATCAAGAAAACCTCCTTGTGTGGGGAAGAAGCAAGGTCAGGAGCCAAGACAAAGGATCAGACCAAGAGAGGGAGAAGATAAGGTTGCATTCAATGCTTCTATTGGAAAAGCGATTCACTGAAAGCACAATCAAACCTTTTTTGAAAACCCAGAAGGAGCACTAGGTTGCATGTGTGCATCTAAAGAACACAGAACAGCAGTATCATCAGGCACATTTCAAATGTTTAACTTTTATCTTGACGCAGGGGCATGTATGACTTCAGGCCAGCTATTGTCTAGGTTTGGCTCAGGGACCATGGCCTTCCTCCCTCAAACCAAGGGTACCTCTCCATGCTGGGAATATTTAGGACTGCATCCCCCTGGGCCCACTTCAGAGCTCTCCCCCTGGACCCTTGTCTGCGTACAGCTAGTTGTTATTGTTGGCTCCATATGCAGCTTTTGGAGGGTGCTCCAGGCTTCCCTCCTCCCACTCTTCCCCCAGAATAGGGGCCCTCTGGAGTTGGATCAAGGAATAAAAGAGGCCTTGGGAAAACAAGTGGGCCTTGGTGGTAGGAGAAATTGGAACTTTCTATGGCAGGAATAAAACAGGCAAAATCTTTTTGTGGTGTGTTCTCTCACCCTTCCCAGGAGCAGGTGCAGAAAGACAAGTTTCCTCCTTACATGGGGCCCACTTTGGAGTAGAACCAGGGGAAGCGGGGTCTGGAGTGGACAGTGCAGGAAGTGCTCGTCTAGCCTTCAGAGAAAGGCTCTCTGAGGTTGCCTTTTTTCATTTCCCCTTGGGCCTTAAGCATGATAAAGCATCAAAAAGGCCACACTCAGGGTTTGGGTCCCTTCACCTCCCTCTGAAAAAGGCCTTGAGCAAAAAGAGACCCAGGGCTCACATATGGTGTAATCCTGCTCACCAGTGTAAACAGTCAGATGAGGGATTGGGGCCAAAGCCTCAACTTCAGGAGGAGTAGGACTTTACCTAGAGGTTTTCTATGCTGTTTCCCTGGCAGCTCTTTGATTCTGGCTAGGATTTGGGATGCTGGTAAAATCTCTTTTCGGGAGAGACACAGTTAAAGGTTAAGACATTGTCTTGGTCTGCTTGCTAATCAAGAGTAGTAATAATATTATTTTCCTTATAGTCTTCCTTATTAGATGATCTAATTCTTTCAAACACCTGGTAGGATATTAGTATAAATCCAAGGGACTTTTGAGTTGATGAAATCTAACTCCTGCCTTTCACAGATGAGTAAGTGAATACCCACCGAGGTTGTCTTCGCCCAGGTCACACTGCCAGTTAGTAATGAAACTGGGACTAGTGCACAAAGAAAGCTGCAGTCACTAGCAACAACGGGGCTCATCAAAGAACATTTAACATAGAAGGGGTAAAATTTTAGCAGTTATTCATCAAATATTTAGTATGGACCTGCTATGTGCTAGGCACTGTGGGACTGCAATGTGGAGTTAAGACAGACATGGCCCCTGACCTTGCAGGAGATATGAAGTATTGTAATATTGCTAAACAACAGGAAAATGGAAACATAACATGGTTAGTGTTATTTTAAGAAAGAATTAATTTATCTGGTAGCATCCCTTTGAGCAATTTATGTGATGAAGAAAGTTGTAATTATCTTGGACATATGCATACTCATAGCCTCTCAATGATAAGAGATTAATCCCACTTGTTCCTTCTCAAACCTATATCCCCATATTCATGAAATGAATGGGAATATTAATTTCAAAAGATAGGTAGAGCAGACTTTTCTGACATCTATCTCAACTGGCCCAGTGCCAACCCCTTCACTCCGAGCTACAGAAACAATTGTAGGTGTGGGGCTACCTTCTCCATAGTCAGGAGCTCCATTGTGGCGGGATCCCACAAACAGGAGTCGCTCAATCATTGCTGACATGAGTGAGAGAATCACAAATGTACTGGGCATTTATTTCTGACTCTGTGATAAATGAAAAACCAGTGATGATTCACTGTATCATTTCAAATCCTTCTGAGTAACAATTAATAATAATGATAATAATAATGACATGGGATGCTATTAAATACTGTTTAGGCTAAGACACATTCTGAATGCTGTGAACCACTCCAACAGGGCTGGAGTGAAAGGTGTCATGAAGACAAACCCTCATCTGGGGCAAAACATGCCATATCCTTTTCTATAAATCTTAACAAATACTTTGCTACAATTTCCCTCTGAAATTTAATTTGAGGTCAGCTTGAATTAGCAATAATGGGTTAATATGTAGAATTGATTTTTAAAGAATTGAACAATTATTACTTTCAAAAACATAAGATGACCTTTCTAAGCTGACCTGAATGTTGGCTAATAAAATCCTTGTTAATTAATGGATTGACAAGGACTACATATAACTTGCCAAGAGCACATTTCTGGCATTGGTGATGAATTTTGAATATACCGTGGACTGCCAAAAGAACAAACAAACAAATCAGTCTTAGAAGAAATACAACCAGAGGCTCCTTAGACTTTGACCCGCCTACTTTGGGCATGTCATCAGGAAAGACCAATTGCTAGAGAAGGACATCTTGTTTGGTAAAGGAGAGGGCCAATGAAAATGAGGGAAACCTTCAATGAGATGAACTGACACAACAGTTGCAACAACAGGCTCAAACATACCCAAAATCATGAAGATGTAGCAGGACTGGACAATATTTTGTTCTGTTATACATCAGGTTGCCATGAGTCAGAGCTGACTTGAGGGCAACTAACAACAATTTATAATTAGCATCTCAATTGTCTGTGCCCTAAAACCTTGTTTACACTGTTCAATTGCTTTGAATCCCTTACTTTATAGTCAGAACAAAGGAAAATTCAGTCCAATGACAGTATGAATTATCACAGTTTCAAAATTAATAGAGTATGAATTAATTCCTTTGTATTACATTTAATAATTCTCAGCAGATTGCAGGATAATTCTATACTTCTTGCCCAGAGACAAAGCATTACTAAAATCGTTGGAGGGGAAGGAATTGTGGGATGTATTTACATGAGATGGGGCCATTACTGTTCTTTGCTTTGTTTCTACTTCGATGAAAAATTCATAAAAAGAAATAGAACTAAGATTTATATTTCACATTCAACAATGATTTCATGAATGGATGTGTGTCTGACAGTCACAAAGCATTTTTAGCTCTGGACCCTGGGGGTGGAGGGAACATCATGCTAAAACATGGAGGCCCATGTTTCCCCTGCGGAATCTGTACCATGTACTGTAAAATTTATGTTCTGTTTCTATTCACAAGGCAGGTGGGAAGCTTCAGGGTAAAGTCTGGGTACCTTAATGAAGCCTTTCATAATCTGCCCCTTGCTTACCCACTCAGCTTTACCTCTCAGTACTTTCTACTCTGCATTCAGTTATCTCTGGTTCTGAACTTCCCCCCCTCAGACCTTTGCTACGCTATT